TCATACACACATACCCCAGGTCATTACCAATCAACACATGGCATGCACACATACCCCAGGTCAATGCCAATCAACACATGGCATGCACACATACCCCAGGTCATTACCAATCAGCACATGGCATATACACATATCCCAGGTCATTGCCAATCAGCACATGGCATGCTCACATACCCCAGGTCATTGCCTATCAAGGGCTGCTCGCCCGTGTCTTTGTATGGGCCGCTGGTGATGAGCAGTGGTTTTTTGGATCGCAGGTGAGTGGCCAGTCGACTGATCAGCTCAGTCTCATCTGCGCAGTCAATACACAGAAAAGGTGAGGTTCAATCCATCAAACACTAACACTAAGCAGAAATGGTGAGGCAAAACCCCTAAAACCCTAATACTATAGAAATGTTGGGGGAGTACCCCTAAAACCGTAAAACTAAGCAGAAACAGTGAGACAAAAACCCTAAAACTAAGCAGAAATGGTGAGGTACATAAATCGGTAGCGTTACTTATCATAATATCTCCAACTGTAGGTAGGCAGTGTGGGTAGCGTTACATATACTAATATCTCCAACTGTAGGTAGGCCGTGTAGGTAGCGTTGCTTATCCAAACTTCTCCAAGGGGCAACTAAGAATACCTTCTTTGTCCTCATACGTCAGCCCAGCCGCCAGCAGTTGATTGCGCAGCAGTGGTTTGGTGAGCATCCACAACTGTCCCACTTGTTTGCCATTGAGTTCCCTGAGTGTGTGGGATGAAGGTGATGACAGAACTAACGTTAACACATAACAGGAATAACGTTAACAGTTAACAGAACTAACGTTAACACTCAACAGAACTAACGCTAATACTTAACAGAACTAACAGTCACACTTAACAGGACTAACATAAACACATAACCAGAATCAACGTTGACACTTGGTAGGTGCTTGTGAACTGCTGACACACTACAAACGTGTTGTGCTTATCAATGAGGTCTGCTATGCAGCATATGGAGCAGCCATTGCACCTGTGTGTATAGACACGTGTGCGCTACATGCATGCGAGTGGTTAGAGATAGTAACACTCAGTGTCTGCGGCGTGTGCTCTGTGACACTGGTGTAGTCCATGTACTTGGCCAGACGAGTGTCATTCCGTCTTCATCCATTAAACGAATAACAATTACTACTTCAGCAGCGCATTCCAGAACACCTGCCATTGGGATTGTACAGTCGATGACCCTATATCTCTATCTCAATCCATATTCGCGGTTAGCATTATACTGTGCATTAGGTTTGTTGGTTGTGTATATGGATACAGAGTGTGGTCTATAATCCCCTTAGAAACTCAGTGTATGTTTGTAGACGCACACATACACCAACCGAGCCATTTATCTGATGCCCTACCATGCTTTGAGGGTGGTGCTGTCGGCCTCCACAGCTTGCCTGTGCTTGTCCTTTTCCTTCTGCTTCTTTTGCGCATCCTTCGCCAGAGCATATGCTTGTATCTTTTCTATATCTGAGCACCTGTACAAAGCAACATGAGACACACAGTAATGTAGAATGATGGTAAGGTGTAAGTGCATTGGCAATAATGCAGAATGATGGTAAGGAGTACGTCCATTGGCTGTAATGCAGAATGATGGTAAGGTGTACGTGTATTGACAGTAATGCGG